GGGAAAAAAATAAACAGGGGGGGATATATTAGACTTAGTAACAATATAATATATTACATTTACTGTAGGCTTAAATGTAAAAAAAACCTCTTCCTTTAGAGTGTAAATGTCTTATAAAACTGTGTAAATAAATTACCTGTTAAAGCATCAGCAGCATAGGGGACCACTAGAACAAGAACCACGTTAAATTAAGCATATGCAATATAAAACATTTACTGAATGGCTAAATGTAAAATGTGAAAGCTCTTCATTTAGAGTGTAAATGCATTTTCGTGTTGGTTGGTGTGTTTATCCATAAGAAATGTAAGGAATTTCTTAAGAACTGGTTGGTCCTGTTCACATTTACATCACAAAACAAATTCCACAAGCTCCACTTACGCCGAAACACCTTCAGAGGGTTCAAAGAGTTGAGTTTTTAAGAAATGTTTAAAAGTCTGCACAGAGACCTGTGATCTAATGAGGAAAAATCTGAGTTTATAAAGGCTTCAGTGCACAAATCAAAGGTCAGAGTTGGAGTTTGTGTTGCGCATGCGCATGCGTGTGTGAGTGGGGTGGGCGGGACCTCGCGAGCACAGGTGTGTGAATGCTCACCTGAAAGCGTTATCATTTCACTTCAAACAGAGTTTTAATCTAGAGTTCATCAAGATCGACATCTTCCTAAAGACTTTCGGCTAATGTTGCGTGAGTAAACCGCAGCTTTCTGTACGTTTAATGTTTACCTTTTGACGCACGCTGGAGAAAACCTGAACGTGGATTAAAACATGAGAAGTGTTGAGGAGTAACAGCGAGAAAAGTTGATCAACGTGTGAATTAAGCAGCAACATGTCTAAACTACTGAACATCGGCGCATTCCTCCTCACATTCATCGGTAAGAATGCACGAAAACACACATATAGTGCATTATTTCACTCATATAAAAACAACCAGGACTCAATGCAGCACTTATAGCACATTTTTAAACGCATCAACACATTTAGGTTTTCATACTGCAGACATTTATAGGCTATAAAATATGGTTTGAGGGTTCGCATGAGTTGTGTCTTCTTTTCGCTCAGTTTATTTGTTGGTTTTATGTTTACTTGTTGTGATTTTGGGGTATTTTTAGTCTCATTTGAAGACTCGAGTCAGCTGTAATGTCTGTATGGTAAACCATTTCAGTTTTAATCTATAAATAGTACTATTTTATATGTTACTATGACCTGTATTTATTTAAGATAGTCTACTAATATCATTTAGTGCCTTACATTAAGTATTTTTTATTGGGCACTGGTGCTTATTTTTGAAATGGTATCTATTGAAAACAAACTAAAATTTAAAATGTAATCTGAATAATAAATCATTTTTTTTAATCTAAATAACTAGTGTATTTTTTTTTAAGTAGTACCTGTCAGGAGATAATAGAATAACTTAATATATATATTCTTAACTATTAATATATTTTCGCTTTAATATGAACTAGTTGCTAAAAATGTTTATTCATTAGCTAGTAGTTCCTATTTAGGAGATACTACTGCATTTTGATTGGTTAGTAGTATTATATACTAGTACTTAATTACATACCCTTAATTTAGTAGTTCTTGTTTATTTTATACTAGTATTTATTCATTATCTACTAGTTCTCACTTATTATAGATCCTAGTAATTATTTGTCAGCAGTATGTATCGATTTGCAACTAATGAATTCATTAGATCTAGTTCCTGTTTATTTTGTGCTATTGTTTAATTCATTAGCTACTAGTTCCTATTTATTAAATACAACTAGTACATATTGGTTATAGATACTATTGTTAAATAGTTCCTATTTTGTGCTATTGTTTATTCATTAGCTACTAGTTCCTATTTATTAAATACAACTAGTACATATTGGTTATAGATACTATTGTTAAATAGTTCCTATTTTGTGCTATTGTTTATTTATTACCTACTAGTTCCTATTTATTAAATACAACTAGAACATATTGGTTATAGATACTATTGTTAAATAGTTCCTATTTTGTGCTATTGTTTATTCATTAGCTAATAGATTCTATTTATTAGATACTACTAGTACATAATAATTATAGATGCTATTATTATATATGTTCCTATTTTTTACTATTGCTTAATCATTGGCTATTGGTTTCTATTTATGGGACACTGCTGCATATTAATTAGGTAAATACAGATAATATTATTAAATAGTTCCTATTTATTTTGTAGTATTGTTTGTTATTAGCTACTAGTACCTATTTATTAGATACAACTAGTGCATATTGATTATAGATACTATTATTAAATAGTTCCTATGTTTGTACTATTGCTTATTAATTGGCTACTAGTTTCTTTTTATGAGACATTAGTCCATATTAATTAGGCAGATAGTTCTAATTAAACTATTAGATGATTAAACTAATTAAATAGTTCCTATTTTGTTCTATTGTTTATTCATTAGCTACTAGTTCCTATTTATTATATACTTATACATATAGATGCTATTATTATGTATGTTCCTATTTTGTACTATTGCTTAGTCATTGGCTATTGGTTCCTGTTTATGAGACACTATTGTATATTAATTAGATAGATGCAGATACTATTATTAAATAGTTCCTATTTATTTTGTACTATTGTTTGTTTATTAGCCACTAGTTCCTATTTATTAGACACTAGTAGTACATATTAATTATGTAGATACTATCATCAAATAGTTCCTATTTATTTCGCTCTATAGTTTATTCATTAGCTATTAGTTCCTATTTATTAGATACTACTAGTGCATATTAATTACAGATACTATTATTAAATAGTTCTTGTTTTGTACTATTGCTTATTTATTGGCTACTAGTTCCTATTCGAGACATTAGTGCATATAAGTGCAGATACTATTATCAAATAGTTCTTATTTATTTTGTGCTATTGTTTATTTATTAGCTACTAGTTCCTATTTATGAGACATTAGTACATATGAATTATGTAGATACTATTATCAAATAGTTCCTATTTATTTCGCTCTATAGTTTATTCATTAGCTATTAGTTCCTATTTATTAGATATTACTAGTGCATATTAATTACAGATACTATTATTAAATAGTTCCTATTTTTGTACTATTGCTTATTCATGTGCTACTAGTTCCTATTTCAGATATTAGTGCAGATGCTATTATCAAATAGTTCTTATTTATTTTGTACTATTGTTTATTCATTAGCTACTAGTTCCTAGATACTAGTGCATATTATTTTGGTAGATAATATTATCAAATAGTTCCTGTTTACTTTGTTCTATTGTTTATTCATCAGCTGCTGGTTCCTATTTATTAGATTATACTTGTACATAATAATTATAGATACGATTATTATATATGTTCTTATTTTGTACTATTGCTTAATCGTTGGCTATTGGTTCCTATGTATGAGACACTCTTGCATATTAATTGGGCAGATACTATTATCAAATAGTTCTTATTTATTTTGTACTATTGTTTAATATTAATTAGCTACTAGTTCCCAATATGAGAAATTAGTGCATATTCATTTAGTAGATACTGTTTTTTTTTTTAAATAGTTCCTGTTTATTTTGTACTATAGATTTTTCATTAGCTACTAGTTCATATTTATTAGATACTTATGCATATTAATTAGGTACTTCTAAATGCATACTAGCGCTCACAGAATTTGTTGGCGGTACTTATTGAATAGCTAGTAGTATTAATTTAATAAATACTAGTACTCATTACATGCTTTTAATTATTAATTAGTTATTTCATTGTGATATTTATTCAGTTGGTGCTAGTTCTTATTGGATACTTATGCATATTAATTAGGCACACGAATATCTAAATAGATACTCATCAATTATTCATTGAATACAAGTAGTTTATTATATACTGTTTTAAGAACCTTTAAAGAGTTCCTATTTATTTTATTGCAATGTTTATTCATTACCTACTCATAGTTATCAGATTACGTACTCTTGACTTTTGTTTTTATTTATTTTAAACTACTATTAGTAATACATTTATTAAGTGGTTGAAAAGCAGTTAAAAAAAACTAGTAATAATTACAAAAGATACTAGTGCCGAATCAATGACTACTAGCTATTAAATTGGTAAAAGTAACAAAGAACTAGTATCTTATTAATTAAACCTTGCATTTTGGCAGGTTCTGGTATCTTATAAATCAGTTCTATTGTCTAGAAAAACTACTAGTTCCTAGCAGATGGTTGCTAGTTGTCATGATCACCAGCGATCTAGTAGCTGCAGATCGCTTAAGGACTACAAATCTGCCATTTCTGGACTACAGGACCCAGTCATACAAGACACACACACACACACACACACACACACACACACACACACACACAAACGGTTCCAGATCAAGACTGATTAATGCACTACATGTGGAGCACAAACACTTGCTGAGTCTTGTCTACTGCTTAGTGACACTACAGTGCGTTTTCCTTTGTCTTTTTTCCGTGTTTTTGATCCTCGCCTTGTTTGTTTGTTTAATCCTGTTTACTGCCTGCCTTGTGACCATCTGCCTGTTATTTTGTCTATGACTCTGGATCGCTCTTATTCCTCTGCTTGCCCCTGTGTTGACCACTGCTTGCCTGACCATTGTATTAAACCTGCATGTGGATCCGCACCCCTGTTGTCAGTGTCATACCCCTTGTTACACTAGTATGCACAAACATTTAGTAGCCACAAATGCACTGCATACTAGATATTTTAATAGATATGAATGGATAATATTTCAGTGGGGGATCATCTTCAGAAACGTGTTGTTGTGCTGGTTGAAAGTCTCTTCATATTCCAATAGTGCTGATTAAAGTAAATGATCTAAATGTGTTTTTATATTCTGGTTGAGGCGTAAAACTAGCAAATGTTCATCCGATTAAATAGAGATGAGCTAATAACTCTAATATTTCTGATCAGGAGCTCAAACTGTCTGTCAGCAAATGCAGATTTGGACTTATGTGCATCCCTGTTCAAGCACTGTTTGCTTATTCACGTAGACACAAGAGAGAAAGAAAGACAGCAGTAAAGGCAAATGCTGAATCAAAACTTGTTAAATCAATGAATATTGGAGTGAGTTTTGCATGCTGGAGGAAGGACGACACCACGGCTGAAGTGTTTCTGTTAGACAGTGTTCTGTGTTAAACTCTTTCAGTCACGCAGAGCTGATGTAGATTGTGTTGTTCTGAATGGGTTATATGCACAGAAGTGTTGTTCAGCCACTGAAATCTCCTGGTGAAAGATTGATGTGAGTATTTTCAGCTTCATAAGGTCCTGTTACAGCAGATAATGAAGATTTATATTCAGTTTATCAACAGAACATCAGTCAATAGCGCTATTCCGCCTAGCCTGCTTTACTGAGCTGAAGATGCTTTTATATTCACATTGGGTCATTATTGATCAATAACAGCCTGTGATGCGCTCTATTGTTCACCGCTACTCTGAATATTCAGTCTGAAACAGCATGTCAGTATGGCTTAGTAATAAGCAGAGATGGGGGACTCGAGTCACATGACTTGACTCGAGTCAGACTTGAGTCACAAAATTTAGGACTTGAGACTTGCTTAACAAATATCCAAAAAAGACTCGACTTGACTGTCATCTTGACTTGAGACTTGGACTTGAGTTAAATGACTCGTAAAATAACTTGTTTTTGTAAAATACACAACCGTTTGTTATATATTTAAGCTTTTAAAAATAAAACTGAAAGTCACGCATGCGCAGTATTAACAGCTCATCGGTTGTCAGATCAGTTCAAAAGAATCAGTTGAATTTGCTGGACTGGATCATTCGGTTCATTACGAACCGATTTAAATGATTCATTAGATTCATTTAAACGATTCATTTGAACGATTCATTTGCTATTCGGCCATCAG